AGGCGGGCAGTGGAGGAGCAGCTATGGGAAGGGGGCCAGTGGCTCTCTGCTCTCGGCGATCACTCCGGCTTCGGTGTTCTGATGGGGGCAGAAAAAGTAGTGATATTGAAATATACTTGGCATTCTCCATTTCGCTTTCGCTTTCCCACTTGGAAGTATTAGCAAAAGGCTGTTAAAAAAAAGTGAGCTTTCGTTAATCTAGCTAATTTCTGTACCAGATCAGATGTTCAGAATGGTTCCTAACTACAGAATGGTTCCTAATTTCTGTACCAGATCAGATGTTCAGAATGGTTCCACTTACTATTGCCATGACGATGGATACATACATTTCAGTGGGGCCATCTCATAATCGATATACAAGATGGCCCACTTCTGAGTTCCATGTGCCTCATTTCAAAACAGCATGAGCAAAAAAAGAAAAGAAAAAGGAAAAAAAGTTGAGAACAATGGGGGAAGATTTGCTGCCACCAGTGCTGGAGTGGAAAGTAGGCACAGACATGCCACACACCAGAGCTGCCGGGCCACCCATGGGGTGCTGGTGCCAGCTCACAGTGGCTCATTGTGATTGCTACGTCTTCAGGAATTTGCGTGACCCAGTTTTTCAACTGTTCATACCTGGAAATAGGCCATGGTGGGAGTATTTACATCACAGAAATTGGCAACTGCTACACATCAGGGCTTTATCTGTTTATCTTATTATATTTTTTTCTGTAAAGCTGGGTGACGGGCATGCCACTACAGCCATCTAAGCCCTGTCACCCACAGCACTCAGAGGGCTCTGAAATCCTGGGCTCCCAGAGAAAGTAAAGCAACCCCATGACAACATTGCTCTGATTTAGGAATAAAGCTACCACTTGGAAAAGCTAAGAAATATCTATGTGCAGGAAGAAGTAGTCCTGACTTCATAACAAGAATCACTGAGCCACCAAGAACACAATTTAGCTTTCTGGGTGTCTCCGTGAGCCCCAAACCTCATCCTTCCTAATACACTGGCCACACCAAAGGCTGCCCTGCCTGCCAAAATCCAGCTCACACTCATGCCCAGGGCCTGAAATTTCTAGAGACTTCCTCATGATTTAGGTACAAATTCATACAACCAATTTTTTAATCTGCCCTTTCATTATTTAAAATTATTTTTCTACTTCAGTCTCTGAAGTGTTTTTTTCTTTTTAATTTATTTTTCTTCATCTACCCATGATAATTGTACATATTTGTGGAATACAGTGTGATATTTGGGTACATTCATACAATGTGCAGGATATTTAGCATATCCATCACGTCAAGCGTTTGTCCACCTCTTTGTGTTGGGAGCATTCAGCATCCTCTCATCTAGCTACTGGAAGTCAAACAGTAATTTGTTGTTGGCTATAGTCTTCCTATATTACTATAGAACCCTAGATCCCATTCTTCCTCTCTCTCTCGGCAATTTTGTATCCATGGACCACCCTCTCTCCATTCCCCATCCGCCTCCCCCCACCAGTCTCTAGTAACTCTTATTCTACTCTCTATTTCTGAGGTCAACTTTTTTAGCTTCCACATGTGAGTGAGAACATGCAGTGTTTC